TGAGACACACACAACACTTTTAAAAAATTCTTTGGCAGTATAATAATCATAATGTAAAGGGGAAGTCTGATAAACATGTGTGCGTGCATGTTTGTATGTATTCCAGCAGGTTTGGCTGGATCCATTTCCAGTCGCAGCCATGTGCCCTTGTGCCCCAGGCTGTGCTCCGGCTCATCAGCCTACATTCTTGCTCTCGGGCTAGGCTTTGTAACACTGGGGACCAGCCGCATCCTACTTCTGAAAATGTCTGCCAGTGCCGGTGATTACCTGACAGTAAACACATGCACACAACTTTTTTTTTCCACATCTGGATAAAAAGATTTAAAAAACAGTGTTAATTTTTCTGGCGTGCATTACAGTGATGTGTTGGCAGCTTGCTCAGTACGTGTCTTCACATTTTGTTCTGTTTGCAGAAAACAAGTATGACTTCCTCCCAGCATCTGTAAATCTGCTTGCCGAGGCTCTTCTGGTCATGTCAGTCAGGGTCATAGTCCAAGGTAAACTTTGATAGCATACTGCTGTTCTCATTTGAAGTCATGCTGTTGTCTAAAAATTGTTTGCCTCATTCTGATGTCTTTTCAAAAAAAGGTTGCCATGGTTACACAGGCATGAGGCACATCGCCATTCTGAAGCTGGTTGGCACACAGTTGCCAGATATGGGCGGAGTCTTGGAGCTCTATCCTATCAATGGTAAGAATTTTTAATACAAAATAGTGAACAGATATATTTTCTGAAAGCTAAGGTCTCTACTCTTTTGGTATCTGAGTTCAGTGTGATAAGTTTAGAGGAAGAGGAAAATGTCGATGTGCTACATCTATTGTGAAATTCACTCTTTAATAGGTTGTTCCTAACCTGATCCTCTGGTCCATCCAGGGAGTGCTACCGTGGAGCGTGAAGGGCTCTCAGCTACCCTCGTGAAGGACATGAGAAACTACTTCCAAATCAGCCCAGAATACTTCTCCATGCTGCTGGTGGGGAAGGACGGCAATGTTAAGTGCTGGTACCCCTCACCCATGTGGTCCATGGCCATTATCTATGACCTGGTAGACTCTATGCAGCAGGGCCGTGCAGAGAGGTTTAAAGGGGCGGGTGCTCAAAGTTAAAAAGGGGCACATTGAACCAGGCTGAATAACAACAACACACATTCATCAAGAATCTAATATGGGAAGGGCAGGGCTGTGTTGATCTGAGACTGTAGACATTAAAAAGTCCAGAGGAGAGATGGTAGCTGATTAAACAAGTGTCATGAGATAATAACAAAATGCAAAGATTGGTGACAGCGCTTGGAACCATAAGGCAACAAAAAACTGTGAGAAATCATTTAGGCTCTGCCTGTGAATCACTCTTCCTTCTTCTTCCTTCCATCATTTCATATATCACTCTCCACTTGCTATGTGAGAACAAGGCACAACTTGCTATTGCAATAAACTATAATCTAATCATCCACACCTAACAACTCTTGCACTTAATCTATAATAAAATGATGACAGAAAAATGTTATAGCACTGCCTTTAGTAGCCTCACACAGCTCCTGCTGTTTCCTCCTCATGTCCTTCTTCAGAATACTGTATATACTATGGGCATCATGGTGCTGATCCAGAATCCTTACATTATTATTTATTACTAGAGCTACAATAATAAAGCAATGAGGAGGGGGAAGTAATAAATATGAAATAATGTCATTATGATGATTCCATTTGTTTCACTATCCACTCTGTGCAGGGCAAAGCTTATTACATGTTTAAACTGTAGAGATACAATAATTTTACTGCTGTAAAATCCAACTTTTGTCTTATTTAAAATATAAATCTAATATAATCTGCTTCTTAATGTATGTTCTTTAAAATACAGCGTGTGTTTTTAATATATTATAATTATAATAATGCATAATTATGTGGACATGCATATTAAATTGTTTTTTAGTGAAATATAATCCCTCCAGAAAGGCAGGAAAAGCCCGGAAACTTACTTTAAAACTAAATATGTTCCCTAAAACGGTGACAGAGCTACAGACCCATGACAGCCTTACACAGGTAGCCAGCAGCTGTGACCAGCACTACATGTGCAGTTAATAAAAGGACAGGTAATGTTTGTCGCGCTGTTGCACACACAGCACGCTCGTTTGTTTCAGTTCGTCAGTTGCAACAAGACAGCTTACCAACGTGTACGTAATAAATCAAAAATCAAATCAAATCAAATCACTTTTATTGTCACATCACATGTGCAGGTACACTGGTAAAGCACATGTGAGTGAAATTCTTGTGTGCGAGCTTCACAAGCAACAGAGTTGTGCAAAATACAATAATGTAAACAAGCAAAATACAAGAATGGCTACATCTGAAACTAATAAATATATGTACAATATATAATAGTATATGCATTTCGTATAATAGTATATGCATTTAAGCTAATAAGCTAATACTCCTGTGTGCTACACACTACAGTGCACGCTGTACACCTACTTACTGGTTGTGTCGCATCAGTCTGTGTCTCTGAGTTAACTTGTGTTTCTCCTACAGCTCCGGACCGCTAAAAATGCGCGTGCTCTTTGTGAGCTCGTTCCCGGCTCGTAACCAGCGCGTTCTGCCGTCAAGGGCGATCATTGGTTAAATGTGATCATGTGACTGATGCAAGCCAGATCCTTTTATTTAGCAAAACTGTGATTAATAGTTAAATATTATTGTTGAGGGGCACAGACAGGACTCCGCACACACACATTAAAAAAAAAAAAAAATATATATTTTTAAAAAGTTGCCTCAACAAAAGGGCACTTTGGGCACCCATCAGGAAAGGGGCGGGTGCTCAAGCCCCTCTAGCCCCCCCCTCTGCACGTGCCTGCTATGCAGCTCCGCAGACAGGAGATGGCCATCCAGCAGTGGCTTGGCATGCGCTGCCCTGAAGACTAATATGGTGGCTATGGTTACCATCAACGAACACGGTTATCAGGATGGCTATCACCAGGGGTATGGTGATAAAAGGTGCGTGCATTCCAATGATGCACACTGGCCTGCAGCTGGTCCTTGGTGCTACCTTCCTTTGGCCCAAAACCTTTGTGTGTCTTTCCCATCTCCCACCGGGCAGTTGGCACAGACGACTATTTTGTAGCACTTAGTGAAGGGAAGAAAAATGCTTTCACATATCCAGTTCTTTAACATTCCCTATATAGCATAGTACGCTGCTTTATACTTAGCAGCGTCAGATCTGGTTAGTCAGTAAATTTATGGATGAACCTGAAGGTTCAGAAATGGATTGCGTACTTTAGTTTTTGCCGGGTTTGTTTTTTTTTGTTTATTTCAACTTAAAACATTATTGCATCGTGTGTCATCTCTAACAGGCTTTTTTAGATCAGACTTACATAGTTTCAGCACACACGTTGATTTTGTAGATAATAGAACATTTTTATTGGACATCTGTTGCATTTGAAGTGCAGTTACCAATAATATTATTAAAAGCATCACATTATTTCTCTTTTGTAAAGTTTCTGTTGCTATACATTGTTTCTATTTATTCTTTGTTTCTATATGGCTATATGAAAATAAACATTTGTTTACTACCAGGTCCTTTAAATTATTTGTCTCACTTTCAGTGCCAATGCGCTGCAATAATCTTTTGAGCAACACCTCCCCCTAGTGGCAAAACTGGAAAAATATTTCCAAGTATATTTTAGTGGTCATGTAATGATTGAAACAACCTGCCGTACTTGTAATATCTACAGTAGTTTCAGACCTTCTCAACTTACTGTCCCCTCAATGCAATCACATTTGCAAAAACACTTTGCGAGTAAGAAGGGCTTGAATCCACCTACCCATTTTCTTCCACTTATCCAATTAAGGGCATGGGGAGGCTGGAGCATCTCTCAGCTGCCATAGAGCAAGAGACAGAGTTTGTATTAAACATGGCCAAAGTGTATGTACAAGTGAGTCTTGTTCATTTAAAGCTTAGACATCAGACTGCGTTACAGTCTCTTTTCTCTTGGATCTGTATAATGTTAGTGGGTGTGGAACACTGTTATTCAGCAGGTGGGTAAACTATCTAAGAGTTGGCTTAAAGGAACTGATAGGGAGCTAAAACAGCTATCAAGCATGTGCAAAGTAATAGAAGAAAAACATGGAGTTAGAGCAGCTAGTACCCTTTAGGTCTTCCTCCAGAAAACCTCAGTATTTAAATAAATGCACAAATTTATGACAAGACATCAGCAATTGTATTAAATTGCATTACTTGCACAGAAGTAAAACAACTTGCCATTTATTTTACAAGAAAATGCATTCACACGTGAGGATTTTAATGGCACAAACAACAATCTTTAGACAATGTTATTTTACAGTTTAACAAGAAAATATTCAAGCCCCAAGTAAGAGAGGCAGGGAGTTTGTGGTGCTGACAGAAAGTCAGGCATTAGTGGCAATTATGTCAATGCCACTTATTCTGGCTCAGAAAATAAACAAATAAAAAAATAAACTGCCTCTTCCACAGTACAATACAAACTGAATTCATCATAGTGTGGATAAAGATTCAAAATCACCACAATTTCAAACAAATCTATTATCAAACCAATCCTGAAACTGCAGTTTCTGGTCCTTAGACGTCCAGCACCAGCAAGCAGTCAAATAGCAGCATGTACAACAGGAATCATGTAAAGAAATACACTGTCCATAAAAGGAATCCATAATGAATCCAAAAGTATCACTTATTTTCCAACAAACAGCGTTGCTGGTACTTTCCCCCATATGAATGACAGCAGTCATCCACAGACAGGCACGTTTCCAAAATATACACATTTCGCTAATTCTGTTATTAAACACTTTGTTTTTAATTCTAGGAGTCTATCATATAATCTATCAACAGTATCTTTCACCGTTTACCTGCTTATCACTGTTCAAATAAATGCTTTCACAGACAATCTGTGACCATGTTCCATCCAGTCAATTGTCCAGTTCGATATCAGCAGCAGGAAAGATGCAGAGTATCCTCTGGATACTTGGGAGTGAGCTCTATCATTACTACAAGGACTCTTCATCAGAAACACTGTCTGCATTTGCCTTTGTCAGGAGCTCGAGCTCCTCACTGTCCTGCAACACAAAAAAGAGACAAGGCATCAGAATGAATGAACAAGTGATCAAATCCAGTGGACAAATCTGCAGACATTGAGGCACTGTGCACATCTTTTTTCTGTCTTCAGAAAGTGGAGGGCAGTATTTACTCCCCGAAAAACACCGGGGAAGTACCGTGCATTTTAAAGCCACGGCTGCCAATGGAGAGGGTATTTTTGTTAGTGCTCTAGCAAAGAAACAAACACCTGAAACCTGGCATTTCACCTGATTTACAGGGTTTCTTCAATACAGAACAGGACGCTGGGGATGAAAAGAATTCCAGGATAGTATCCCCACAGACTACTGTATTGTTAAATAGCTTCTTCCATCAAAAAACACTTGACTACTAAAGGAATTCTATGACGTAAGGCTCCAGCATGAGCCTGGATGCTATTTTCATAGCTGGGAATCAGGTTTCCTCTTGCACTCAAGAAATGACATTACAGAGAAACAAGAGCCAAGTTTCCTGCAGAGCACTTGGTATGTGGGCGGGAGTAGAGGAAGTGGATATACATCGGGGTTAGGTGAGCGAAGTTGTGTGAGGAAAAGGAGTGTGTGGGCTTGTGTGCGTGACTACTGAGGATTTGTGGTTTGTCTCCTACCCCTCTTGACCTCTCAAACACTTCCCCGTTGATGACCCGTAGTTTCTCCCGCTGCAGGCTATATTCCAGGTCCTTGGGCCAGCTGGCATTGTAGATAAAGATGGCCAGCAGGACCGTGGGTGCCTGGAGGAAGAAGTCCAGCGAAGGGTGGAAGTCAAAGAGGAAGAGGGAGAGGCCTGTGACCAGAACAGTAGTGAACTGGCCAGTCAGCACATGGAACATGTTGTCTCTGAATTTTAAGATGAAGGCCACGGATAAGCCCAGGGCAGCTAGGGAGAACACAGAAGATTATGAGTTCTTCAAATGCATACTAGAGATAGATAAATGAACTAGTCCAGTTAATAACAAATTACACCCAGCAGCTGGATTAGTGTAACTTAGCACTGATGCCAGAAGCAGGACCAAATACCCACCAGGCTCTGTTCAAAGGCATAAAACAACTCAAGTACCAGCAGCTTACAAGATCACAAGTTAAGATGATTTTGTCTGTAGACGACAGAAATTGTACAAAGTAGTGGTTTTGCATGCTACAGTCTTTTGGAGCCCCCACCCCAACCCCTCCTCTATTTACGCCAGCTTTCATCTGATTGGCTGCCCCTACATCTGAGCTTCTACAAACAGAACCAGGTGCTGCACCACTTCCTCTGCTTATCAATTTGACAGACTTCCTTCAACCCAGCCATGCCTTCCAGCTCATCCTGGAGGACACAGTATTCCCCAAGCCCGCTGAGACCTCCTCCCAGTAGGACATGGCCAAAAACATCTCACCTACCAAGGAGTCCAGGAGGAATCCTGGTTAGATGCCCCGAGTACCTCAACTGTCTTCTTTTGATGAACATATTTTCTCTTCCTCAAGCAACTTATATAATCCACATGGACATGTTTGCATATAATTCAAAGCAGCAAACTAATTAAATTAAATTAAATTAAATTAAATTAAATTAAATTAAATTAAATTAAATTAAATTAAATTAAATTAAATTAAATTAAATTAGAGTGGACATCTCCAGCAACAGAAATGACAGTAGGAGATCTCAGTTCAATCAACATCACACTTATGCCTGCTTGATATTCATCTTCCAGTCATATGCTGTATAAAACAGTATTCAAATGTCCCTCTGATGTGAGAATGATGCACTACAGTGCTGACTGAAGTTATCAATCTTGTGATAGGCAGAAACACCAAAAGTTAAAAATGGAACAGTCAGGTCACTAAACTGCTGAGACTGGAGTGGGGCTGGTGGAAACTGCGGCAGACCAGGGCACTGAAACATAGACAGACAGTTCTTTTGCAATGAAAAACATAAACACCCATGCTCCCGGTAGGTTTCCGCTGTGTCAGCTGTTTACATTATAGGTGCTTATGCAGTAACCATGGTAACCACGGACTCTGAGCGGCTGGATCGACGGAGGTCAGACAACAATTTTACATATATGATCTTCAAACAGGACACAGCCATTATCCCTCCTGGCCTCATATCAAATGTGAACGCAGACTGAGTCTATGTTTGACGTTTTCTTTATATCTAATCTTCCTCTCAAACATTTAAACAGCAGCGAGTCTGCAGCTGAGGGAACACAAACTCAAATTCTCGGATTGAACAGGTTTGCTCGTTTCTTGCGTGTATTCATTTGGTGATTTATTAAATGTGTAACTGTTATTCTAATCTGCTGCTGAGTCTCGTACGCTGATGAAAATGCAGAAAACTTAAAATAATAGAAAACAATAGAAAGAAAAATATTCTTGTAACAGTGCACATTTAGTGCATTTAGTACAATTGGCTTCAGTTGAGGTATTATTTCAGCTTTTCTAATGCTAATCAGCTGCTCCCGTTTGTAAACCCGCTTGTTCCCATGATTACGCATCTTAACTCATCATCATTATTAAAATATGTATTACTTTTATGTATTAGTGATCTATTTGTTGTAATCATCTATCCTTGCAGTTGTTTATTACACAAAATAAGTTATATTATCACTTCTGGCCACATAGCACTGATATTCACTGCACATGCCCATATTAACTTTTTCCAGCCAGGTGTTTTCCTTTTCCCATTCTTCCCTTTCTCTGAGGGGAACAAACATTGCTGCTCTAATGCTGGGCTTACACTGTGCAGTTTTAGGCCCATTTTGAGCCGTTTTTTAAGTGATCGAACCGATTTTGGCCTTCATCGTGCATCGTGTAGTATACGTGGGGTAACGAGAAGTGATTAACACCTCACGACCAGCTCCCGACCATCAATCGCTCGTGAGGGTGTCACCGTAGCTATTCACACTGCTCACGCGCAAACACGTAAACGTCGGTGAAAAAAATGGAGCAGCACGGCTGTGCAGCGTGTGATCTGGACACAAGCGATGGAGGCACAACTTGTAGAACTTTGGAAACCTCATCCGAGCCTTTTTGATGTGGCATCACAAAATTATCACGACCACAACAACCGTGAAAATAGTTGGATTTACACTGCTGCTCAATCACAGCTGCCTGATCATGTTTTTCATTAGCAATTTAGCAAAGTTGATGGTGGTGGTGTGTCTGTGTGAGTGAAAGACAGAGAGGGAGAGCGAGCGACAGATTTTCTGTTATAACCTTCATGTTATGGAGGCACAGTGTGAGCACTCAGGTCGCATCAGAGCATCGGGCGGTATAGTGTGAGACTCTGCATCGTGACCTACCAACTTCTAACCCCTGCGAGTCAATCGTGCAGTTTGAGCAGGAGCTGAATAACGTGACTGAAAAAATCGCACAGTGTCTGCCCAGCTTTAGGTGTACTGTCGTCCGAGACTTGCACCGCAGTGTCGGCGTTTGTTTCCCTGTTGGCCATGCTTCTTGTTGTGGTCATCTGTTGCCTTCCGGTATTTTCTCCACAAGCGACCTTTCCTCGACCAATGAGATAAGCGGTAATCTGAATTGTCATACTCGAATTGTCATAAGTGTGCTGTCAGCTCATTGGTCACAAAGCAGGAGAGGGGCTGGGAATAATGTTTTCAAACAAAGCGTTAATTCCATTAAAAGTTATAGACTACTTTTGATTATCACTGTATTACGGGACAAAGTGCGTCCCTTATTAGCTCAATACGGGACGTGTGCTTTTGTTTCTAAATACGGGACGATTCCGTTTTTTAAGGGACGGTTGGCAACCCTAGCTACTATCCAGGATAGATGCCTTCGTTTGGTAATATCCGATACACAAGCTGCCTCATGTTGCTTCCAGGTTGGGAAAGAATGAAAAGATAAACCACTTTCAAGCTTATTCTCTTGCCGGTCGTGCGATCGAACATTGCAGCCGACCACACAGCAAATAGGAACCATGGCTGTTGTGTGTGCCTTCGCTCCGCTCTTGTGGGGGGGGGGGCTTTTTTCGCTTGCGCTTTATTTTGACCACGAAAATGGCGCATCAGGCCAAAATCCTTTCCACGCCCACCCCGTTACATCACGCTCCAAAGCCCTATGGTAACTAATGTTATAAAAATGCTCCGCCTCTAATGAGCATTTGAGCAGCCAATCAGAATCATCTATGTCATGTGATCATGAGTACGGCAGCGGATATTTCTGGTGAGAGTTTCGAAGCACCATGGATGACGAATTTGAAGGTACCAGCTCTCAGGTATGAAGCTAACCTTCAAAAGTTACATGAATACAAACAGGTACCTTGTCGGTTTTTTTTTCGTTTGTTTGTTTTTGTGTTTTTGGTTGTTGTTTCTTTTGCTTTTTTTTGTTGTTTTTTAACCCTGTCCTGTCTGGCAGGTATTGCAATCAGACTTGTGATCTGAATGCATAGTCATTGTGTTCTTAGTGAATTTGAATTAACACAATAACCTCTGCGGTTGACAGACGTGCCCGAAATCACATGACCAATTTAAGGCGTCAGAACAAAAAGATGGAGCGACCCAGGCTTATGGCGTTATTTTTGTGCCAGTTTTCTGAGCGCACGAAAAAAAGGTTTGCAAGTGCAAATGTTGCATTTTGAGGGGAAATTTATTTTGAATGAAGAAAAGCTGAATTTGAGTGAACAAAATTCATTCATGCGTGCAAAAAATGTATTTCAGTGTTTGCTATTATCCATACACACAACAGCAGCCCCTCTCCCTCGGTTTTTCCATTTGCGCTCGCTCGCAATGTGTTGCTGGCGCTCTCAACATTTCTGCCTGTGCGCGCTCAACTCTTTCTCTACACCGTTATATTTGTGCCACAAAAACAGCCAATCACAGACTTGGATGCAAAAAAATCTGATTGGCTGTTCTGGTCTCCAATCAGCTCGAAGTGACGAAATGCAATATCCCAGAATCCATTTCAGTTAAAACTCAAACGAGGCAGTGGCGGAGGACCACAGAGTGGCAGAGTTTGAAATATTACTCTTTCTGGGTCACAAAATAAACTTTTAAGATATTTTCATGCGAGAATTGTGCTGTGTAAACTTCAAATATCTGCTTGATTCATCAAGACATCACATATTTCCATAAGTGCTCTAAAGTTTTTTAAGAAGATAGAGAAAGAGTTGAGCGTGCACGGGCAGAAATGTTGAGAGCGCCAGCAACACATTGCGAGCGAGCGCAAATGCAAAAAGTGAGCTGCTGTTGTGTGTGTGTATGGACAATAGCAAACACTGAAATACAGTTATTGCATGCATCAATGAATTTTGTTCACTCAAATTCAGCTTTTCTTCGCTCAAAATAAATTTCTCCTCAAAATGCAACACTTGTACCTGCAATTTTTTTTTTACGTGCGCTCAGAATAGCGTCACAAAAATAACGCCATACAGGCTGTGTCCCAATTCAGGGTCTGCACGCTTGAAGTACGCGCACTACGCGTACTACGTACGGTGTGTACTATAAGTACGAGAAGTGCGGAAGTGAGAGGCTTGTGAAATGGGACGGTCTAGCCTTTGTCGTGCTGTTAAGGTTGCCTAACAACCATGATACTAACCGCGAGAAACGTTTCATACAGCTTTGTTTGACAGAAATGAAGGAGAAAAAAATGTTTTGTTGGTCATTTATTTTTGTCATGACATCACTTTGATTAGTTGAGTATCTGAGGCTGAGACCAGAGGACTGTAAAACATGATTGTTGGGCTTCATTTCTGTACTGAACAGTCATTTTAAGATTAGTTAGTAAATAACAATTAGCTAATGTTGTTCATGAGACTAAAATCATCTCACTGTGGTAATGTAAATATAATATGGCCAATAATATATGTATTGTCGGATCACGGTTTTAAGTCACGGATCGGATAAATTTTCGGATCAGCAAAAATAGAAAAAAAAGACAAAAATTCTACTCGCCACATACTTTTTTTTTTCTTTTTAGAATCTTCGGATCACGTGCGTACCGAACCGTGGAGTGGGATCGGTTCGAATTTCGGATCAACTGTGATCCGTTTCACCACTAAGATGTATTATACATAAGAGACAAATATTGTTCGTTTAATATGTTTTATGTGTAAAAAGAAAATGTACGAGCTGTGATAACTGTTTCTGATAGAATGAAGAGTAGACTGATATATGAACTATTCCTTTATTGGGTGAGAAACTCAGACCATGTCATAACTGCTTTAAGTCATACAGAACAGATATCAGAGCCTTAAACAGGCTGACGTCTGCTAAATGGGTCAAACTGGGCAGAAAGTATACAAACATAGAACATCCTTATAGAATATGATGTAACACTATAGATAAGACCTACCCAAAGTGTGGGGGCGCAGAGCCATTGCAGGGGGGGCGCAGTATGAAAAGGGGGGGGGGTAACAAAATGCT